ATTTAAAAGTCGTTTGTTTTCAACCATTAATTCACACAAAATATCATTAATACTAATATTGAGTGACTTTTCACTAATCATTGAATCCATTATTGAATCCATTATAAAGTTATAAATATTTTAATTATAATAAAATCCAAATTAAACCACAATTTATGTAAAAACAAATGCAAAACAAAACATCAAAACAATCATTGATTTTTGAGATCCTTATGCATAAAATCACAAAAATTACGTTCACTTTGAATGCAAACTTCAAAAAAGTTTTTGGATATTTAGAAAAAATACACAATTGAATTGAAATTAACGTTTAATTTATAAAATAATTAAATTATTTATTTTGTGTGAAATCTCTTAATATGTGAGTTAAGATTAGCTAACTGTACGTAACTGTGTGTACATCCGGGCCAATGACACACATAGGGCTTAACGTTGTTATGAATATTCATGTGTTGTTTCAACGCAAAGACGTGAGGGAACCGTTTGCCACACTCTGGCCATAAACACGGGAACGGCTTTTCACCCGTGTGTCGCAGTTTGTGTGGGTGTATGTTATGGCCCGTCCACTCACATCCCGGCCAATCGCACCGATATATGCGTCTCGGTTTGAGCGCCCGGCTATGGACTGACATCTCATGTTTATGGCACTGATGTATAGTGAAGAACATGTCATCGCATCCATTGGTGGAGCACTTAAACGTCGGTTCGCTTTCATGTCTGCGCCGGTGATAAACCAGACCTCCGGCGGTAGTGAATGTCTTCTCGCATCCAATGAAATCGCATGAATACACGGATGGCTTACGGCTATGGACTGAGACCTGATGATTATGGCGCTGTTGTTTCGTGAAGAACAACTCAACGCATCCATGGGTTGAGCACTTATATGTCGGTTCGCTTTGGTGTCGGCGCCGGTGATCGCGCAGAGCTCTGCGAGTCGTGAATGTCTTCTCACAACCAATCAAATCGCATACAAAACCTCTGTTTGTTGTGTTGTGTCTCTGCCTGTGATCACGTAAGTTGTCGTCGGAATCGCATTTATATCGACAGCCATTGTAATCACATTTAAACACAGGGTTTGTATGATTTCTATATAAATGGCATTGAAATGCTTCGTCGGTTTCGCATCTCTTCTTACATTCAGTTTTCTGACATTTGTATGAATTTGTGGTCAAATCAAACATTTTCTGTCTTTCTTTGAAATCTGGAATCAGAAGAGGACTCGATTTTGAACCACTTTTTGCCGATTTATGTTTGATTTCATGTACTTTGAGGTCATATCTCAGTGCATACTGTTTATCACATCCATTGTATTCACATTTAAACACACGGTTTGTGTGATATCTATAAAAATATTTTCTAAAACATTCGTCCGTTTCAATAGTCTTCTGACATTCAGTTTCCGGACATTTGTATGAATTTGTGGTCAAATCAAACATTTTCTGTCTTTCATTGAAACCTGGGATCAGATGAGAAACACAAGATTTTGAACCACTTTTTGTCGGTTTATGTCTTTTGATTGCTTTATATGTCTTGCTTTCGACATAACTCTCGACCGACTCTTCACTCATGTCTTCGTTCTTATCATTCATTTGTTTGGAATTTGTTTTAGTGTTAGTCTTGACTGAAGTCTTGTTATGCTTTGGTTTAATGTCTTCGACGACTGGTTTACGAATCACTCCCTTATTAATGAACTTTCGCTTCAATTGTCTTCTTTTTACAACTCTTTCATCCATTGATTGTCTTTTTGTGGATTCAGTCGACTCTCGATGACTGTCTTCGGCGATGAGTTTTTCAACAACGGTTTCATTGTCTTCACATTTGATCAACAATTGATCCAAAGGTTGAGATAATATCTGAAAGTGTTGTTTGTCTTCACAATCGATAAGTGTTTCATATTTTGAGTAAATTTTATTTAAATGTGTTTTCAATTGTTTTAAACATTTGTTTGCAAACAATAACTCATTTAAAAGTCGTTTGTTTTCAACCATTAATTCATCAAAAATATCATTAATACTAATATTGAGTGACTTTTCACTACTCATTGAATCCATTATTGAATCAATTATTGAGTTATAAATACTTTTAATTATAATTAAATCCAAATTAAACCACAATTTATGTCAAAACAAATGCAAACAAAACATCAAAACATTCACTCATTTTTTGAGATTCTTATGCTTTAAGTGACAAAAAATTACGTTCGCTTTGAATGCAAACTTCAATAAAGTTTTTGATTATTAATACTGTATTTAGAAAAATATATAAATTTAATTAAAATTAACATTTAATCTATAAAATAATAGCTTAATAAGTGATTCCGATTGACTCATCACTTAATTCTGTATCAATTGCACCAAATTTTAAAACACGGTTTTAATTAATAGTTAATAAATAATAACGTTTAATAAATTTATTGAATTGAATGAAAACTTCTCATTAATTAATTAATTATTATTTATTTAAATTACAAACAAATAAATAATTTATTTTGTGTGAAATCTCTTGATATGTGAGTGAAGATTAGCCAACTGTGCGTAACTGTGTGTACATCCGGGCCAATGACACGCATAGGGCTTAACATTATTATGAATATTCATGTGTTGTTTAAAATAGTCGATACGAGCGAACCGTTTGCCACACTCTGGCCATAAACACGGGAACCTCTTCTCACCCGTGTGTTGCAGTTTGTGTTTATGACTGTTAGCGCCCGTCCACTCACATCCCGGCCAATCGCACCGATATATGCGTTTAGGTTTGGGCGCCCGGCTATGGACTGAGACCTCATGTTTAAGGCGGTGGTGTTTAGTGAAGAACATTTCATCGCATCCATTGGTTGAACACTTAAACGTGGGTTCACTTCGATGTCTGCGCCGGTGATAACTTAGACCTCCGGCACACGTGAATGTCTTCTCGCAACCAATGAAATCGCATACAAAAGTTCTCTTTGTGTTGTGTGTCTGCATGTGATTACGTAAATAGTCTTTACATCCGCTTTCATACCGACAACCATTGACAGCACATTTAAATGGTTTATCACTTGAATGTGTGGTCATGTGTTTCTTGAGCTCATGTGTCAGTCTATACTGTTTATCACATCCATTGTATTCACATTTAAACACACGGTTTGTATGAAATTTATATAAATGCCTTTGAAATCTAGCGTCCGTTTCAAAAGTCTTGTGACAATCAGTTTTCGGACATTTGTATGAATTTGTGGTCAAATCAAACATTTTCTGTCTTTCATTCAAATCTGGGATCAGAAGAGAAACACAAGATTTTGAACCACTTTTTGTCGGTTTATGTCTTTTGATTGCATTCTTTGTCTTCGTTTCGACACAACTATTATCTGATTCTTCGCCCAATTCTTCGACATAACTCTCGTCCGACTCTTCACTCATGTCTTCGTTCTTATCATTCATTTGTTTGGCATTTGACTCTCGATGACTGTCTTCGGCGATGAGTTTTTCAGCAATAGTTTCATTGTCTTCACATTTAATCATCAATTGATCCAAAGGTTGAGACAATACCTCGAAGTCGTGATTGTCTTCACAATCGATAAGTGTTTCATATTTTGAGTGAATTTTATTTAAATGTGTTTTCAATTGATTTA